CGGGGAAGCCGCGCTGAGCCTGTTCTAGTGGAACAAAACAAGAAAGTACAGGAGCGCCTTCCAAAGGCTGCCAGTGTTTATTCCAGTGTGAGCTTTCCTGAGACATTTTCAGATATATTTTCTCACGAAAGCTTGTGCTGGAAAAAGGTGCGTTCACACACACACACTAAATAATGCACTTCCAATCCACTTTTAATGCACTTTGCAGCTGGATTTTACTGTGTGAAACAGCAAAGTCCATTTGGAAAGGATCGCTGAGGTGGACTGAAACTGCTTTATTTACTGTGTGTAAAAACGGTTAGTCTGTTAAGGGCTGTGGTCACACACACTAATAATCTATTTCCAATTCACTTTCAGTGCATTTTCCAACTGGGTTTTACTGTGTGAACGGACAAAATCCATTTGGAAGGTGGTTTGAAAGTGGATTATTTAGTGTGTGTAACCACAGCCAAGATACTACTAACTGGATTTCTCATATAAACTTAAGCTTATTATTCCTGTTTGATCCTTGTATCTGTTAAACATCTTCATAATGCTGCATAATAATTTACTGCTCACCCTCTATATGTATGGACTGGTAATTTCCAGTTTTGTTTCTCTGTCTTGACTCTGGCCCTGGCAACTAAACCCCCCCCCCATGTAGTGGTTGAGGAAATTCTTTTCACTGTATCTGAAGAAGTGTATGTGCACATGAAAGCTTATACCTTGAATCACACTTTGTTGGTCTTAAAGGTGCCACTGGACTCACACTTTGTTCTCACAGCAGTCAGAATAATTCCAGCTCTGTTAGGCTGGGGTAACAAAATTAAACAGGAGTCTGGTGGAACCTTTAAAAAACTTCATTTACTGACGCTTTCATGAGTCAGCTTTTTGTTGTTGCTGCTGTTTTCTGAACAAGAGGATGTACGCTCTGATGTGGCAGTTTGAGACTGGAATAAATTTTGTTAAAGTCTTTCAAGTGCTTCTGGACTCCTGTTTAACAGCATGCCTGCAGAAATGGGGAGGTAGTTGTGTTAGTCATTTGCAGCAAGAAAGAGGAGTCTTGTGGCATTGTAACAAATGCTTATGTAACAATAAAATGTTGCCTTTATGGTGCCACAAGATTGCTGTGTTTTTTCAAAATCTTTATTGATAAGCTTAATGCGTACATGTACATTGAACATAAAAGGTTCCATTGCTAATTGTGCTAAGAAGGCACATTTTTACTTTTTTTAAGCACCAACTGAAGCATCTCTCAAAGTAGTTTATTCTCTTTCTTTTTTAAACACTGGACTTCCTAAAAGGTGCCCTGTTGCTATGGCTTTGTGGGACTCCCTCCTCCGCCTTGGACTGGCAGGACTACCTGAAATAGTATTAAATAATACATTTTTATATTTTTTTGTTTATTTATTTTTCAACTTTCTACCCCGCTCGAACCCCCCAGGGGGTCTCTAAGCGGCTTACAGTTAATCGGTTATCCCTACCTATGGCCACATATACTGGGGATGGGGATATCACTGATGGGGCATTTGAGGGTTCACTGTTTGCAGAATTGTCCCCCCACCCCACCCCCATACATATTATACATGTAGGCAGGCAGATACATCAGAACTTAATTCCCTAAAACTTGCTAATCGGCATCTATTACTATATCTTGACAATACAGTGCTGTTTTCTAGAACTCCTGTTGGTCTGAGAAGAGCTCTTAGGAAGCGTGCCATTTTCTGTGATAATGAATTCCTTATAATCTCCTATCAGAAAACTAAAATAGTAGCCTTTGCGAATAATCCGAAATCCAGGATGTGGTCGAGTGGCCATTGGATTGAGCAGGTTAACAGCTTTAAATATCTGGGTGTAGTGCTGCAGGCTTTGTGCTTCAGGGCTAATCACAGCAAATATGTTGCAGGAAAGGGAAGAAAGAGCAGCAAAAACTTTAGTGAAATTGTCATGATCTCAAGGAGGGCATTATGTTCCTGCAGCCCTTAAATTATTTAAGGCAAAGACCCTGGCTTAAATGTTATATCGAACATTCCTAGGGCCACCTACCTCTTGCTTCGTTCCGCAGGGAAGAGTACAATCAAGGTTCTTAAGAGCTATCTTACAGGTTTCCAGATGCATGGCTAACACCTGGATAAGACTTGAGACAGGTATTATAAGATTTGAAGTAGGGTGTGCATTCTGTCTATTTGCCTGTGGTTAAAGGGACATCTTAATCCCCAAGGACTGTTCCCTTTGATAATCCACAATAACTATCAATCTAATTGGTTTAAGGCTACACCAAAATTACATAAATAAAATTGGGTTTTCCTGTTATGAACTTCTATCCTGTGGATTCAAACAGGCAAAAAGGCTAGTCAAACAGAGAATTCAAGATATAGAACGACAGTCGGACATTTCCAGTTTACAAAGTCTTAATATGATTTTCAGCGTTAAAAACATTGACAAACCTGCAGCCTACATGACTTTGCTGGAAGTAAATAGTTTCAGAAGCACATACACTTTGGCAAAGAGTTCTTCCCTTCCATCTGCAGTATTGGAAGGTAGGTATAAGAAGATCCCTTATTCTGTGTGTTGCTATTTAGGCTACAGAAATTGTATCACAACCAGGTTTAAGTTTCCTTAGATCATATTTTATTCTATAAATGTTTATTTTGTAAACTGTAAAACTGGTGATCTGTTTGCTCAAATGACCCTAACAATAAAGAAATGAACTGATGTAGAGAGGAAAAAACCTTACACTTCCTCATTTGTCCAGAGATGAAATTTTTTTGTCTTCTCTTAACCGACCTTAGTATATAAAGTACATATGCAATACATAGTATGTACATATAATATACACAATATCCTCAGCTGAAAAAAGATACATATGATAAAATATATTCAGGTGGGTAGCTGTGTTCGTCTCAAGCAACAGAACAAAGTTTGAGTCCAGTGCCATCTTTAAGACCAAAAAAGGTCCCAGTCACATGGGCCGGATATCGCAGCGGGGAAGCGTGGCTGTTTGCCCCGAAGCAAAGTAACATGCGGCAGCCCGATCACATGTCCCGTGAAGGTCCCGTGGTTAGGTCGTTAGGTGCCAATCACATGGCTATCTTGCAGCGTGGCAAAGAAGCAGCACGATCACACCGGCAATCACTAGGCGCCGCTTCCGTGGCAAACAGGATTTTTTCCCTCACTGACGTTTGTGCATACGCATGATTGTGCGTATCCTGTGGAGACTTACAAAAAACCACACCATCTGTTGTGCGACGGGACATGGACAGGCGCCAGATGCCACGGGATTCCAGCGGAAACGCAATCAGACGCCTGCCCTTGCCCCGCGTTTTCCGGAAACTAGTACATCGTATGTGGTAGTTTTTTACTCCGCATCTTCAGCGAGAAGCCACGGGTTAGCCACGGGAGCGCTACGCCTCCCAGATGTTCCGGTGTGATCGCACCAGAAAACTCCGCGGGAGAATTGTACCTTCAGCGTGGCAAATGCTCCGTGTGACCGGGGCCAAAGTTTTATTCAAGGTATAAGCTTTGGTGTGCACGCACACGTCCACAGATACACTGAAACAGAATTTATTCAACCACTGCCTATAGGAAGGGGGGGGTTGGTACTTCCTTTATCTTATGGTTGAGGAAATTGTTTCACTATATCTGAGGAAGTGATGATAAAATATGTCTCAGTAGATAGTTTTAGGCAGATTGCATGTATGTACATCATTATATACTTTATTTTTATTTATTTATTATTAGATTTATAACCCGCCCTCCCCGCAAGCGGGCTCTGGGTGGCTCACAGATAGGGCATATATGCCAATAGTTAAAACCAGGGCTATTTTTGGGCAGGAGCTCACAGGAACGGAGTTTTGGCTGGCTCCCAAGTTGGCCACACCCAATAGCAGGAACTCATTAGGATTGGCTACATTAGGGGTGTGTGGCCTAACATGCAAAGGAGTTCCTGCTACAAAAAAAGGCCCTGGGTTTTGACAACAAACAAGGTAAACAGAATAAGAAGCAAAAGGTGAGTGTGGCTGGATGACCACACTTCTGGTAACATGTGGGTGCGGCCTAATGTGCTAATGAGCTGTGCTGTCAGGGGTGTGGCCTATTATGCTAATGAGTTCCTGCTGGGCTTTTTCTACAAAAAGAGCCCTTGAAACAATTAAAAACAAGATAAAACAGTCAGTCAATTACAACAATACAAAGTGCTCAAGATGTTTCAGAAAAGACATCAATAACACGATGGCTTCCTGGGGATGGCAGTCCCAGTTCAGTAGTGTCTGTTTCAAAAACATAATGGTTTGTAGCCAACAGCCTGCTGGCACAAGGAGCTGCTTCTGGTGGAAGAAAACAGCAGTTGACAGAGAATATATGGTATCTGTCAACTGATGTTTTTATGGATAGTAAATGTGTTCACTGAGAGATTATAATGATCAGCCTTGTGTGCATCTGATAAAGTGGGCAGGAGTGCACAAAAGCTTCTGCCATGATAAATCTTTGTTCTGGAGGTGCCCCAAAGAAATGCTTGTTGCAACAGGACTACATGTCTGAAATATTATTTACAGCCAAGAGCCCTGTAGA